ATTTAAACAGGTTGCTTTTCACCCCATCGTCCAAATTGCTGATAAAGAAATTGAACAGTATGGGCCCAAGGACCGAGCCCTGGGGGACTCCGCTGCCCACTTCCCCCCAGGTCGAATATGACCCGTCCACCACCACCCTCTGAGTACGACCCTTCAGCCAATTTGCAATCCATCTGACTGTGTAGGCATCAATGCCCCAGTTGCCTAGTTTTTTAATGAGGATGGGGTGGTCAACCGTGTCAAAGGCCTTGCTGAAGTCCAGAAAGACTACATCCATGGAGACACCTGCATCCAATGCTTTTGTGACCTGATCGTAAAAGGCAATCAGGTTGGTCTGGCAGGACCTGCCCCTGATGAAACCGTGCTGGTTGCCCTTGAGCATCATCCCCGATGCTGGCCCATCACAAATGTGCTCCTTGATGATCTTCTCAAAGAGTTTCCCCAGGATTGAGGTAAGACTGACGGGCGTATAGTTGCCTGGGCCCTCCCTCCTCCCTTTTTTAAAGATGGGGGCCACATTGGCTATCTTCCAATCATGTGGCACCTGGCCCGAGCACCACGAATGCTTGTAAAGCTGTGCCAAGGCTTTATGTGACGGGTTCTCCCTCCTCCAGTGCAAGGTGGATCCGGAGTCGGGGGCACCCCTGGATGAGCTGAGCCCCGAGGCTGTGCAGTTCTGCCGGGAGGTGGGCAGCCGGGCCACACGGGTGTCGGAGGTGCTGAGCACGCGGGACCCGGCTGTGTACCAAGCTATCCAGTTGGGTGTGGAGCGGGTGAACCAGCATGCCCTGTCCCATGCTCACTACGTGCAGAAGTGGGCCCTGCTGCCCAGGGACTTCTCCATCACCGGTGGGGAGCTGGGTGAGTGCTGGGAACTGGGCCCCTGGGCCTGGTGTGGGAGCCCGAGAGAGGCTGGGGTTGGGGATGAGAGCTGGGACCTGGTGCTGACTGTTGCAGCCAGGAGGAGCTGGCTACACCCAGCCTGCCCCTATGGCCAGGGAGCCTGCCCAGCTTCCACCTGGAGGCTGCTCATCCTCCAGCTGCTCCAGGACCCTGTGAGCCTGCCAGCCCCCTCCCGCTCTGCCCCAGAGAGCCTTCCTCCAGCCAGGGGAGCTTAGGACTGAGAGCTGGGCTGGGCTGGGCTGGGCTGGGCTGGGCTGGGACCCCTTGTCTCCTTGGGGCTGACATGGGGAAAGGCCTAGCAGTCTCCTACACCAGAGCCTTGCTGGCTTTTGCTGGGCTTTACTGGTGGTTGCATGGGGCCAGGAAGGAGTTTTTCCCTTCTGGTGCTACACGGAGGCTGTGCCAGTGCCAGTGCCCACGCCTATGCCCTTGATAGGGCTTAAAGCTGGAGAAGAAAACAGAGCACAGGAAGCTCCTGCTCTTCTTCCCTCTCCCATTATGTTTGTTGGCTGGCCCCTCAGTCCCGTTCTGTCCCCTTGGTCCTGAGGACACATGCTGTGGTGGCAGGAAGCATTCAGCAGGCTGGGGCGAGGGGCACCCAGCACTTCAGGGCAGTGGCACAAAGCACTTCTAAAGCAATGGGGATCAAGAATAAGAGTGCAGGAGTGGAGACAGCTGTAGAACAAACTGCAGCCAGCTGGGGTCTCTGTGCTCCCTTCTTTGCATGTCCCCATGAGCCAGTGGGTTGTATAGTTTAACAGAACTGTGACAGGCAACTTTGAAGGCTGAATCTTTCTTTTAACTGGTAACACCAGTCTGACCCGTGACCCCAGTGTGACTGGTGACCCCCATTAAACCAGTGACCCCAGTCTAACTAGTGACCCTGTGATTTTTAGTGGCTCAGTTCCAGTTTTGGTTCAGTAGGACAGGAAAGACGATGGTGCATTTCCTATCAGGTTCAACCAGACTGGGCTCTTTGGTTCCAGTTTGACTTCCAGTTAAAGCAGGGAGTCAGGGGAACATCCCCCCAGGGGAGCTGTGGCCTCTCCGATGTTGGAAGTGTTCAAAGACAGGTTGGACAGCAACTGGGCAAGGATGTTGTGGGCTATAGATGGGCAAAATATGAGGCAGGGATGGAAAAGCAGATTTGCTGGGGGATGGAGACCAAAGCCCTGAGGCCCGTGGGAAGTGGGAGACCTGAAGGAAACACAAGGAGGAAGGAGCAACAGAGGGGACTTCTCATTCTTCCTGAGAAATCAGGGCAATTGACCAGCCATCTCTGGTGCCTGTACACGAATGCACAGATCCTGGGAAACAAGCAGGAAGAACAGGAAGTCCTTGCACAGTCACAGACCTCTGACATGATTGGAATAGCAGAGACTTGGTGGGAGCTCACATGACTGGGGCATGGTCATGGACGGGTACAAGCTGCTCATGAAGGACAGGCAGGGGAGAAAAGGAGGAGGGGTTGTGATGTGTGTAAAAGAGCAGTATGATTGCTCCAAGCTCCAGTATGAAACTGGAGACAGGGCTGTTGAGAGTCTCTGGGTTAGAGCCAGAGGGGAGAGAAACAAGGGTGATGTTGTGGTGGGTGTCTGCTGTAGACCATCAGACCAGGAGGAAGTGGTGGATGAGGCTTTCTTCAAACTGTTACTGGAAGTTTCCCTGTCATAGGCCCTGGTTCTCGTGGGGGACTTCAGTCCCCATGATGTCTGCTTGGAAGGCAATACAGCAATGTGCAGGCAATCCAGGAAGTTTTTGGAGTGTGCTGGGGACAACTTCTGTGGTGCAAGTGCTGGAGCGGCCAACTAGGGGCTGAGATCCTCTTGCCCTGATGCTCATAAACAGGGAAGAATTGGTGGGGAATGTATGGTAACTGGGGCAGCAGTGACTATGAGATGACTGAGTTCAGGATCTGGAGGAAAGGAAGGATGGAGAGGAGCAGAGTAAGGATGCTGGACTTCAGAAAAGCTGACTTCAACCCCCTCAGGGAACTTATGGGCACTATCCCTTGGGAGGCTGGTTTGAGAGGGAGAGGAGTCCAGGAGCGGTGGCTGTACTTTAAAGAAACCTTGCTGAGAGTGCAGGAAGACTAGCAGGTATGGCAGATGACCAGCTGGGCTTAGCAGAGAAGTCCTCAATCTGCTTAAACACATAAAGGAAGCTTACAGGAAATTGAAATTTCGACAAACAATTGGGGAGGTGTATGACAGCATTTGCTCCGACATTCAGGGATGAAGTCAGGGAGGCCAAACCACAACTGGAGTTGCAGATAGCAAGGGATGTGAAAGGTAACAAGAAGGGTTTCCTACAAGTATTTTGGTAGCAAGAGGAGGATCAGGGAAAGTGTGGGTCTCTTACAGAATGGGGGAAGCAACCTAGTGACAGAGGATGCAGAAAAAGCTGAAGTGCCCAATGCCTTTTTCACCTCAGTCTTCACAGGCAAGGGCAGGTCCTAGACTAGTGCAGTGGCCAGCACAGTTTGGGGAGGAGGTGAGCAGCCATCAGTGGAGAAAGAGCAGGTCAGGGACTATTTAGTAAAGCTGGATGTGTACATGTCACAGAGCACTGTGGTGCCCTGCTCCTAAAGAGGGGAAACTGCTAGGGAGAAAGCCCTAGCAGAGAATAAGGAGCCCGGCTGTTGGTTGCCAGGGCAACCAGAGGAAGTCAGCTGACCAGAAGGGGCAGGACCTGGCTCCCTTATAAACCCTAGGGGCTGGGGCCAGAGGCAGTTCCCTGCCGGCAGCCAAGGAGGAAGGAGCTCTCCCTCATGGAAGAGAGGAGCAACCTGGCTGAAGGTGCAGTGTCTGACATGGCTGAGGGATGGCGTGTTCCCTGGTAGGCTGGACTGTTGTTATGGCTGGGTGGCTTCTGTTTATGTTATAGCCAAGGGGCTTGTGTTTGTGTTGCTGTTTGTCACCGGTGGTTTGGGTGAGGCTATTAGGGCTTGGAGGAGGCCTCATAGGGGACCCACAGCAGTGTGGGAACCCCAGCACCAGCAAGGGCACAGCATTCAGGGTGCACAGACCCCAGCCCCAGAGAGGGACAGCTGAGAGGCCCCAGAGAAGGGGGCATTGCTGAGAGGCCCCAGTGAGGGTGTGGAGAAGCCCCGGAGAAGGGGGCAGCGTTACCGAGAAGCCCCAGAGAGGGGGCAGCATTGTGGAGAAGGCCCTGAGAGACAGCAGCATTGTGGAGAAGGCCCCGAGAGGGGGACAGCATTACAGAGAAGCCCCAGAGAGGAGGCAGCGTTATTGAGAAGGCCCAGAGAAGAGGGCACACAGTGAGATAGGGCCGGGGAGAGCCCTAGCGCTGGAGAGGGCGCAGATCAAAAGAGGTAGGGCCCAGAGAGGACAAGGGGCCAGATTATAATAAGGCTAGGACATAACAATTTCTATTCCATCGGCGAGGCGTGGGCTGTGGTGTAGGGGAGGAAACAGAGCCACAGGTAGTGCTCCCTGGCCTCAGGACAGTACAAGGGTGGCCTCCTGCTAATTAATATCAATTAACAGCAAGACATGGCAGACGAGAAGGCAGGCGGCTGCCCCAGGAAGAGGTGCGTGGGCCACATTTAGATTGGCCCAGAGCAGGTACCTGTTACAGTACAAGTCATAGGGCAGGATGGGATTCACCTGAGGGTGACCAATGAGGTTGCAGAGCCACTGGCCATCATCTTTGAAAACTCATGGTGATCTGGAGAAGTCCCAGATGATTAGAAAAGGGCAAATCTAGTGCCCATCTTTACAAAAGGGGAAAAAGGAGGATCCAGGGAACTACAGATCAGTCAGCTTCACCCCAGTTCCTGGAAAAATCACGGAGCAGATCCTCAAGGAATCCATTTCTAAGCACTTGGAGGAGAAGAAGGTGATCAGGAACAGTCAGCATGGATTCATCAGGGACAAGTCATGCCTGACCAACCTGACTGCCTTCTATGAAGAGGGCAATCCAGGCTGATCTTGACAGGATCAGGGAATGGGCGGACGAGAACCTGATGATCTTCAACGCTGAAAAATGCAAGGTTCTCCACCTTGGGAAGAAAAACCTGCAGCATCCTTATAGACTCAGCAGTGCTATGCTGGCTAGCACTACGGACAAAAGGGACTTGAGGGTCACGATTGACCCCAAGATGAACACGAGCCATCAATGTGATGCTGCAGCTAGTAAAGCGAGCAGAACGCTGGCTTGCAGCCATAGACGCTTCTCAAGCAAATCCCAGGACGTCATTCTCCCCCTGTACTTGTCCTTGGTGAGGCCGCAGCTGGAGTACTGCTTCTCCAGTGGAGAAGCTTGAGAGAGTGCAGAGAAGAACCATGGGCCCACTGCCGGCTCTGCACTGCTCCCAGGCAAGTGGGGACCCAGGATTTGGGGGACCCTGCCCCACCAGACAGAGACCGGTAAATACATATAGCCATTATGACCTCATTTATCTGGTCCAATGAAGGCCAGCAACTTTTGGCTGCCAGCCAACCAATGTGAAATGCATCCCTGGTTGCTGGGTAGACTGGCAGGATCTTTAGCCCCCTCCCAGTCATGCTGGCAGTGTAAACCCCTGACCCAGGCATGTGACGCCAGGCGGGTAGGCACAGGGAGCAGGCTCCCCTCCCTCAGGAATGTCTCCAGCTCAGGTTACCACTCAGGGTCACCTGAAGAGATGGGGCAGGGCAGTCTTCTCTCTGCAGGGACCTTGGTAACCAAATTGTCATGTAGCAGAGTCTGGGGACAGACAGAGATGGTATTCTGCCACCCCCTCTACCACCTTTTACTAGCAATAGCACATTAACCAATTAGGAGTCTTAAAGGCATTGCATAACATAAAGTAACATCAATCCTCATGGTAAATTGCGGGAGTGAAATAAACCTAGGGAATATCTTTAGCTACAGAAACACCATAATGTGGATAAGCACTACATAGTCTCATAGTTTCGTAAATGTTAGGGGCTGGAAGGGACCTGACAGACAAT